AGAGCCCCAGGCCCTCTGTGAGAGTCCCCCATTTCCAGCCTACTCCTGTTCCCCAGGAGGAATTCTACACTCCCCAGGCCATACCACAGCAAGGACCATCACTCCTGTCTCCCAGGCCCTGCAAGAGAGCTCCCCCCCCCCCCCCCGGGGGGCTCATTCCTGTGCCCTTCCCATAATTCTGGGTACTCCCATTGCTACTAGCTGAGGGCCAACAGGGCTGGAAGCAGGGTGAATTGCTCCTTACCTCGAACTCCTCTCAACCAGTGCTGTCTAATGTTACCACCCTTGATGAGAGTCTGGACAGCATGGAGTTTATAACAGCCACATCTGCTTTCTTTGCTGCCTGCCAGCAGACTGCTCCCAAGCCCAGCCTTTAGCAGGCTTCAGGTTACACTTCCCAGGGCTCTCTTAAAGTGGTCTGCTCTCATTTTTGATCCTGTGATTGTCACTGCATTGTGCTTGCTTTAACCCTTCACTTGATCCAGCTCCCAAAGCAAATCCCATTATTTGAGAAACAGTCAGTGGTTAAAGCATAAAACTAAGAACCAAGTTCTCTGGCTTCTATTCTGTGCTTTGCACAAGCTCCTTGTGTGACTTTGGGCAAGTCAGCTCCCGTCACAGAGCCCCAGCTTCCCCATCTGTAAAATGGGACTCTTCTTTCCCTACCTCAGGGGGTTATAAAATGCTTGGTGATGGCTGTGTGGGAGCTGCAGTAGCATCATTAATATAGCAGCAACTTTAACATTGAACATAGCAAGAACCTCGACCCAGCAGCAGGATCCAAATACCGATTTAAAGCAAATAAGGACCCAGGAGCGGCTCTAGCCAAGCTGCAGGGTCAGTATTAACAAGAATGTTAATATGTTCAGTGAAGGAGAGATGGGATGGGACTGTGGCTATCTGACCATTGCCTCAAGCAGCTTGTCTAGAGGGAAATGCTGAAAATGTAGTGAAGGCAGCTGTGCCAAACCCCATATGTGGGATTGTCCTGGAATCTGTCCCTGCTGTGCTGCAGGCCTTACTCTCTAGGCAATGAGAAGCATAAAACTGACTTATTCATACATGCACTCATCGCCTACAGGCCCTCAGCTAATGGGAAGAGGGGATGACTGGAGACCCACATGAACTGCAAACCAGCATCTTTGTGAGCAAAGCAAATAATCCCAGCTGGTTTCTTGTGGCTCAGTGCTGCTTCATTGACCATGGCCAAGCGAGAAAAAACAGTCTTCCTGAGCAGGAATAAGATGGACAGTTATGGCCTTATGTGGAAATTACTTCTGGACTTGTATTGTAAGCAGAGATCAGTGGAAATAAGCTTGTCCCTGTGACCCCTTCTGCATTCACCTGATGCTGAATGACACTGGTTGTTGGAGATTAGCAGTTGACATTTCCCATGTTTTTCTCCATTTCCTCTTTTTAATGTATGTGTTTTGTACTAAAATGCACTTTGTGGAAGGCTTTGGGCTGATTCTTACTAAGGCCTTGTCTACACAAGAAAGTTGCACCAGTTTAACTATAGGTGTGATTTTAACCCATGCAAAGGCTGTGTGAACACACCTATTTTGCTTTAGCTAAGTCAATTAGTCCTTTTCTATGTGGAGAGTTGTATCTGTTTAACTAAAGTTGTGAATTTAAACAAACTTAGTTAAACCAGTCCAAACCCTCCATGTGGACATTTTATTTTGGTTTGAGGAGCTTATTTTATTTAAAATAGGGCATATTCTTTCTGAACAGCATTAGGCTTTATGTCATGGACATTTTGTATGTTTGATATTCATATGGATTTGCTAAAGTGAAGAAATTCAATAACATTTCAAATATGAAAGTTATCAAGAAATATTAATTTAGTGATGGCTTCACCCTATGGGCAATAGTTTTTAGGGAAGAGGTCCTGTACCTACATGAGGGAATAGAAATTTTATAATAGAGGGCTCTTCAATTTAGCAGAAAAAGTTATAGCGAGATCCAATGGCTGGAAGTTGAAGCTCAACAAATTCAGACTGGAAGTAAGTTATAAATTTAACAGTAAGGGTAATTGACCATTGGAACAGCTTACTAAGGGACATGGGAAATTCTCACTCACTGGAAATTTTTACATCAAGATGGGATGCTTTTCTAAAAGACCTTCTCTAGTTCAAACAGGAATTAATTCAAGGAAGTCCTATGGCCTGTGTCATACATTTGAGTCTAGAAGATCACGGTCATTCCTTCCGGCCTTACAACCTATGATAGAGCTTTGCTTTACCAGAATAGGTTCAAGGGTCATTACCAAGATGTATGAATGTTAGGAAGCAAGAGCATTGTCCTGTGGTGGGAAGTCGTCAGCCTGGATCTTAATAATATTTTGCATTTCTACAGCACCCATCCATTGAAGAGCCTCAAAAGACTGCGCAAAATCTCATGAATTAATTTCAATGTAACAGATCATTTGTTGAACATAAAAAGTTAATTGTGCCTCATACACAGTGCAGCAGGAACTAGCCACTGTCCCCTGGAACAACATGAAGATGGGAGTATGAGAAGAAAAGCAGGAGGGAACTACCAGAATGAAGGGGAGTAGGAGGAAATAAGAACTGAGTTGTTCAGGGCTTTGAAGAGGAAGAAACATGTACATTCTGCACAAAGGGAGCTGGAAGGCAGTGGTGTGGAAGGAAGATGACTTTAGCTGCAGGATTTTGGATAGAATGGAATGCAGCAAGGTGCAAAGCAAGGAGGGGAAAGTTGCAGTAGCCAAGGCAAGACCTAACTAAGGCATGGACCAGCATCTCTAAATTAAGGCAATAATTATGAGAGCAAAGCAATCTGAAATGTTCTCTGAGGGCTCTCATAATAGAGCTGGATTCCTGCTGGTTTACTTGTTAATTACACGGTAGAGTAATTATAGAATAATTATACCCTCTTTTTGACCAGTAAATGTCATTCCATGGGTCACAGGGCTGGGAATTATTCTTAGCTGGTCTCCCCTTAGACTTGGAGTCTGTAAACCATGTGTGGTGTCTATTGGTAATTGCAGGTTTGAGCCAGTTGCTTTCTTTGAAAAAGTTTCTTGTGTCCCTGAAGTCTGTGGTCAGTGAGTCGATCCCCCTCCCTCCAATCCCAACAGAAAGTGCAGGCCAGTCAGTGAGGGAGATGCCAGCAGGCAGCTTGCTTGGTTGGGGCAGATCTACTCAGGAAAGGGGAAGCTGTTGGGAAGGTGACACTGGTTCTTTAGCTACTTCCATGCAAAAACAAAACCACTAAGGTATGTCTACCTGGTGTCTGGGAGTAAGTCCCTCAGCTCGGGTGAAGAGACTTGTGTTAGCAGGGCTTACGGTAGTGTGCTAAAGATCGCTGTGTCCATGTTGCAGCTTGGGCTCTGAAACCTGTGGGAGGAGGGTGGGCTTCAGAGCCCAAGCCACCCTGTCTACACAGCTACCTTTAGCTCACTACTGTGGACCACGGTGGGAAGCTCGCTCCCAGATGCACTGTAGACATACCCTAGAACGACTTCCTAGAAGCAATGAGAAGCAGAATCTACCAACAAAGAGTGGTTCTAAATTCCCTTTGTCAGCAGGTAGACGTTCACTGTTAATTGCTACAGAAACACCAAAACTAGCAAGACTAACATAACACAGCTTAAGTTGCTGTAGGGGGGGTTGCTTTTCCCCCAAACCATCAGTCTTTGCTGCTTGGGTCAGACATGCTGAATTATTTCAGAGCAGGGATTCAGTGAGCTGTACCCGTCTCAGAAGTGAACTTCAAGGTAAACACCATCCCTGTACTGATGGGAGGGAGTGACTGACCCCAAGGAGATGCAGTCATGTCCTGGAAGATGTCAAACTCCTGTAGCATTGTTCTGCAGGCTCAGGAGTACCCAACATAGGAGAACAAGTCACACGTAGGATGTGCCAGACCAGATTAGACCACTGATCCATTGAAGCCAGTAGCCTGCCAGCTGGCAATGCCCAATACCAATTCCTCCCTCAGAGGAAGGCAAACACCAGCCAGTTGTGCTATGCTGCAAATGGGGAAACTTCCTTCTTGATCCCTACAGCATTCAGCTCAGACCCTATGGCATCAGACTGAATCTCCCCTCTCTTTGTATCCACCCACACTAGTGGATTCTCTGGTATGTTCAGCTGAGATTTCCAAAGAGGAATAGGCAATGTCCTTTTAGTGGTTCCATATTTACTAGACATTAATCTCATCCTGTGGCTCCTCATTCTGGTGGTGTGAGTTGGAGTAAGGAGAAAGGACTGCTCACTTCTCATGAGACCCTTTAGGACCTTCCATCCTTTGGTCAAGCCCCAGTAAGTCTTTTTTTTCCCCTCAGTCTTTGCAGTTACTCCGCCTGTTTGCTGCCCTGCTATGCCCCTTTCCAGTCTCTGCCGGGTATCTCTCAAGGTGACAACTCAGCCAAACATCTTCTGTTTTACTCTTTATTATTCTGCCAACATAAAAATTACTAAAAAAACAATTTACAAAATATGCCTCCAAAATCCCAGGTGAAGGGCTGGTGCTAGGGATAGAAATAAACCACCTCCCTTGTGCACACACCCAGCAAATCCCAGTACCCAGGGGGACAGGGGCAGGAATGTTCTAGGCAGAACCTTTATCAGAAGTATTAGCTGAGACTCACATCCCAGGGAAGGCAACTGGCTGCTAGTCAGTTTGATTTAGCTGCCATTGGCCTATATAGTGACAAGCAAGTCCTGCTATTTGGTCAATGTCCTGACCAAGGAATGTGCATGAGGGGCTCAGAAGGAAGAGCAGCTTTTACACCTCTTGTCTTTGTCCAATTGCATAGAGACATTGTCAGAAGCTAACGAGTATTCAAGACAATGAGGTACCCAGCACTGCTGCTCAAGAGTGGTGTTGAGGGGTTCTAGAGAGCCCTGCCAGAGGGGACCCACTGGGATGGGGCAGAAGGGCTTCTGATGGCAGCCTGGTCAAGGGAGAGAGACCCTGCTACAGAGGTCTCACAGGCAGCAGTCCCAGGATTCCTAGGCACTGCTCCTCCCTTATTTGGGGATACTATTTTTGATGGCATTTTTCAGGTTAGGCAAGTCCTGTGGCTCTTTTCTCTGTTTGGCAGCATTGGGGTTGGGGTTCTGGATGCTGCCCACAAAGAGTGGGATGCCCGTTGTCTCCTCAAAGATGATGAAGAGAAAGGGTTGGTTGAGGCTGAAAGTGGAGAGTGAACGAGACATCATGACACTGGTGGCAGCTGATGCCTCCACGCCATCTTCTGCAAGCTCCAGGGTGGACTGGTGCTGGATGCTGGATACAAAGAGAGGCTCATCTGTGATCTTCTGCAGGTCTGGGGCTGAAAACAACTCCCCGAGGCCTAAATAGAAATCAAATTGGGGTCAAACAGAAGCCTGTCTATTCACTAGTTCGGTGCCATGGCATGCCATTGGCTCAGACATTCATTTCATCTTTGTAGAACAGTGGTTCTCAACTTTTGTACAGGTGATGCCTTTCACATAGCAAGCCTCTGAGTGCAACCCTCCCTTATAAATTAAAAACACATAAATATTTAACACTGTTATAAATGCTGGAGGCAAAGCAGGGTTTGGGGTGGAGGCTGACAGCTCACACCCCTCTCAGGCGTCCTGACCCCCAGTTTGAGAACCTTTGCTGTAGAGGCGGCAGCCGCCTGTATCACTGTATTCTATGCACAACACCAGGGACTGGCCAGGCAGAGGAAGGAAAAGTGCACTCTGGCCAGATTTACCAGTCCTTCCCTGTATGGAGATCTGCAAGTGCCAAACAAACACAGCTTTCATATGGACTGATCATATCCTAGGGCTTTATACTGCTGCCCACAGCATGGTATCTGAGCACCTTCCACATAAAACCAGTAGAAACAGTGATGTCCCTAGTGGAATTCATAGAGTCTCTGGCATTTCTCCCTTGTGGGGGGGAAAGCTCTGATGGGTTATATTTTGTTTGCTGCTTAGTGTTGATTGGTTGGTTGCAGATTTTGTTTTCTGAAGGGTGCTAGGGTAGATCAGGGGCTTTGTGGTTAAGGTCATTCCTGCTATGCTGGAAATGTTTTGTCCATGAGGAAGGTTCTGCTGCATTTCCTAAACACACTCATACTCTGTTTTTGCCTAATCTCATCTGGAAGTCCATTTCATAACCCGGTCCGGATCCTCTTAACAATGACTGTTTTGTCCTTAGTTCTCACACACTTTGTTCTGGGCTTTGTGATCTGCATTGTCACTGAGAAGCATGGTTGTCTTGGCAGTTCATACATCCTAACATCAAGGGGAAATAAATCGAGGTCACAGGCAGGGGAAAGGTGGTCACAGCTGAGTTTGGAAGTGAGATGGAGAGCTGAAGGAGGGGAAGATAGGGAGAGACAGTTACAGGAACTGCAGTGAAGAAGGCTCTCAGACTAACAGTGGCCACATTTTTGCAGGGTGGGCAGAGAAAAGGCTGGTGCTAAAAAAGCAAAGAACAGGAACAGGGAGAAGAGTAAAGAGTTACATGGTCTTTGAAGTTGCCTCAAGCAAGGAGATCAGTTCTGAGCTTCAGTGCACAGATAACTGCAATCAGCCCAACCCATTCATGCTGTGCAAACCTCACCCTGGGCATTACCTAGTTGGCTGAGGACTTGGTTGAGTTCAAGCTGGTAATCTACATGCAGTTTGGGCATCTTTACCATGGTGGGCTTCTCCTTGAGGAAACGGCTGTGAAGCTTGTCATGGCTGAGGTTCACCAGCACCTGGGAGACGTTCCACTTAAACTGGTTTGGGACAATGGCCACAAAACTCATGTTGCCCTTAAAGGGAAACCTGGCTACCTGGAAACAAACCAATCAGAAGAACTGGTGGAATAGGAAACAGCCAAGTAAAGCCAATGAGGTCTCAGAAAGGGATACTTCCCCTCATGGCTGATTTTTCAATAGAACAATTAGCCAGGGGGAGGAGGGCAGCATGATGGGAGTGGAGTGGCTGTTTATCCCAGGGAGACAGAGGTCAGACTGGAACAGATAGGGCTAATGCTCAGAGCCAGTATTTATCCACAAGGCAGGTGGAGACCAAAGATATGAGAAACACAAAGTTCACCCTGTAAAATGAACTGCATTTACACTGCAGTGGCCCTGTTCTGAAGAGATCCTCCCAATTTTCATGGGAGAATTCCATCTCCATGTTGCTTTTTCTCTCAGACTTATCCAAAAGGTCCATTAGGTCCCATCTAGTCCATCATCCCCGTGAATTTGAGGGCAAAGATGTTACAGCCTTTCAGGGAATGAAGGCAAAAGATGTTTGAAAAGAACTTCTGTGTCCTGCGTCTGTGAACAGGTATTACTCATCTCTTCTCATAGAACATGAATACAGTGGAGGTATTGCAATAACAAAGGGATATTCCTGTAGCTGCCCGGCAGCACCCTAGACAGACTCTTACCTGAACCTCCAGGGGATCCAGAGTAAACCAGCTCAGGGAATATTTCTGAGCTTTCATCATCTCAACGGGAACTATGAACTGGTCATCAAGGTGGAATATATCTGGCCCAGTCTGGCTGGGGTCAAACTTATGCCTCCAAAATCCTGTCCAAAACCATAAATTTGTAATTAATCAAACCCAAATCTGAATGAAAAACAAAGGAAAGTGCCTGACAAAGCATCAGCGAACAGGTGAGTGGGGACTGGAGCAGAAAGAAGTGTCAGAGCAGGAAGAATTGTGAGTTCAGGATGTCTTTATCCTCAGGAGAGGCTGTGTGGTGCAGTGGAATGAGCCAACGCCTAATGGCATCCCCTCTCTGTGCCTCAGTGAGGGAGAAGACTGAGGTGCTGTGGGGAGGAAGTAGAGAATGTCTGTAAGTGCAGGATAAAGTCAGTGATGGAGGAAAAGAGAGACAGCTGTAGAGCCACCAGTAATGCAGGGATTGAGGAAGGAGGCCAACATCAGTGATAGTGCAAGGAGCTCCTGCAAGAGTACAGGCCAGGCTCCTGACAGCATGGAGGTATTCAGCCCTCAGGGAATTAGAGGAAGACCAGGATAAGGTTGGGCTGGGCTGAAACCCTGGCCAGTACTTCACAGGAGCACCTCAGAGCACCTTGCTGGGCACCTTATGAAGTGTGTGTGACCTGGCTAAGAAGAGCAAGGTGATGTGCTGCGTCCCAGGGACCAGGACCAACAAGGTAACAGGGACTCTGTGGGTTAGTTCTGGCTCCTGGGTCAGTTAACGTGTGTAGCAGAGGTGAGGAAGTTAAGAGGCTGCGCTGTAATGGGATTTGAAGACAAGACTAAACAAGGGGAGCTGCATACATGCAGGGGAAGGAAAAGAGGAATCTAGCAAAATGGGGAAGAAATGAAAGGAGATTCCACCTGAGTACATGCAGCTACTTCACCTGGGGAAAGGACCCGGAACCCCAGCTAGTCACTGAGGGAAAGACCTGGAAAGTGGGGATTGTGGAGTGCACTGAAGCTCACCTTGGAAGTGGACAGCATTGAGTAGGAGCATCACAGTCCTCGCAGGGAGATGATCCAGGAAGGTGGATATCTGCCCTTCAGTAGCCTCCTTTATCCACTTGTTTATGGCTATGAGGTCATTTTCATTGTTCCCAGACAGGGTCACAGGCTTTGCCCCATAGAATTGCTCTGAGTTCTCCAAGAATTTCTCTTTAACCTCAAACCCTGCAAGGAAGGAACTTGACATGACGTCATCTGGCCTTGATGAAACTCGCTCAGCGTGTCCGACAGTGCAGTGTGAAGCCAAATGTGCTCACCAGATAGCAGGGGCATCCCCACAGGGAGTACTTCAGGAAACTAACAGGTGTCACTGTTCTGTCAGCCCAGCTGCTTCAGTCTGTGTGTGCGTCCCAGAGAGTTTTATTCAACAGCCCCACCCCAGTAGGAATTCCCCATTCCTGGCTCTCACCTTTCTGCAGATAGACGCGTGAAGCTACTCTGAGCATGGATCCTGTGAGCCGCCTGCGAATGCTGCTCAGCAGGTGGTGGAGACAGGGCACTGATTCCAGGTGCAGTGCCTCCAGCAGGCGTTTCTCCGTCTGGTTTGCTGCTCCTTAAAAGCAACATCAGATTTGTGTCAGTATCTGAGGGGCTGAGGGGCAGGTGCTCTGACCACCTCCCTCTGTGGCTGGGCATCTGATGTCTTCCCAGAGAGACACTGGTGGCCTGAGTGTAAGGCATTAGCAGCACTGTCACAGCGCCCCCTGGCCAGGTCCGTGCTGTCCCAACAAGTGAAACTGAGACCAGCCTCAAGGGAACGTCACCTCATGCCCCTTAGTAAATAAAGCCAGAGCATTAACACTGGGGGAGGGTGCCCGGCTTAGTGTCTGCATTTTGGACATTGGCTATGGGTGCTTCTCCTAGAGGGAACATTACAGAGGGTGAAAGCTTGTGCTGTTTGAACGTAGTAATTTACCTAGTGCCAGCTGGGACAATGCCAGGGTGATGCTGAGGGGAGACAGGATCACATTGGGTCTGCTGGTCTCCAGCTGGACCTCTGTCAGGAGATCGATGGTGAATTTCATCAGACCTTCTGCTAGCCTGTGTGTCTGCTCTTGAGACATGTCACAGCCTCTCTCTTGACCTTCTTCCTCCTCTTCAGAGGAATCAACTTCTTGCCCTTCCAGCACCTGCTTGTGATCTCCTACTGTCCTGGTGACAAGATGGCCCTCTGAGCTTGTGAGGCCAGCCCCAGGGCTTGTGGTGCTGGTAGTGGTAGGAAGTGGCAGTGTAGGCCCATGGATGTCTTCCCAGGTGTCAGAGGTGGAATCTGACACTGCAGCATTTGGCAGGGTTGGATCCACTACTGGCAGAAGAGTGGTGGTGGGAACAAACTGTGGATCGCCTTCTAAGGCTCCAGCCTCTTCAGAGTGCTGTAACGAAACAGAAGGATGTTACAGTGAGAGAAAGCAGGGAAACAGAGCTGCATTCCTCACTCTCTTACTGGGACTGCAGGTGGCTTGTCACAGGGAGGGGACGAATGGGTCCAGTTCACACTGGTGGGGAGGCAGCAGTGCCGGTTAGCTGGCACAGGCTACATGCTCTGTGAGGAAGCATTACAGGTAGTCGGTGAGAGGGAGGGCTACCCAGAGGGAACTGATGAGCAATCTGAAAGATCAGCACTGTCCTGACATCTGAGCAGCTCCTATCAGAGCTGCATTGAAGAGCAGAGGGACCAAGTCCCCTGACAATAACAGCAACCAGATGATGACCTATATTAAAGGGGAGGATGATGAGGGACCTGTTGCATCCAGTCCCTTCTCAAAACTTGTGTGTATTCTTTGACTATGGAGTATTAGTGCCAAGGTGGCCTCTGTGTGTTGACACAGTACATCCCAGGACAGAATATGCTGAGCTAGTGACAGCCTCACCCCTTGTGCCTGTACTGCTCTGCCAGAAGATCAGCCCCAGCTCTGGCCAGCGTCCCCGTCCTCTCTGTTACCTGACTGGTCCACTGTAGTGCTGAGGGATCCCACTCCGGATTCTCTATGCTGGTGTCATTTTTCACTGCAGGGCCCTGAAGGTTGAAAACAGTTATTCAGGATTTCACACTAGCACAAACTTGGAAAATAGAAAGGGCCTTATTCCAAAGAAAACGGGCCAAGCCAAGGTCTTCCAAGGCAGTCAGTCACTCCTCCCTGCCTACTCTCTTGATCTGCCCTGGCTAAGTGAAAAGATGGCTTCATCTCAGCTTCCTTCAGTTAAATATCTCCGGCTAACATCTTTCTCCTGGCACGAGGAGTCTCCTGCACTCCAGTTCTGGCTTCCTTCTTGTTCAGGCCTTCCTTTGCCTCTTCTGGCTGTAGCTCCAGCATCATCAACCCCGAACTCTCCTCCTCTCCACACCTCTAGCATTGCAGATCTGCCTCGCACCATCTCTGCAGCGTTCTCTGTGGGTGTCACAGCCTCTACATCTACAATGCTGGTCACTTCTTGGACCTAGCCAGCCCTCAGTAACTCCACCCAAATGACAAAACCCTCCCTACAGAATAGCAGGGGGAGAGGGAGAGACATACAGAGGTTTCCTTGTGTGTATTTGAACAGATCCATGAGGCACTCAGGTAACACAGGGATGAGCACAGTGTAAGAGCCAAGACAGACACAGTTTCAGACACAAGCCTCTATTCTTCCTTGCCCACAGCTGGTAATTTCCTTAATTGGTATTATGACTAAATAATTCACCAGCCAATCTCTTTACACATCAATTTCTGTCCTTTATACAAGTGATTCGCAACCAGAAGTACGCATATCCCTGGGGGTACACAGAGGCCTTCCAGGGGTACATCAACTCATCTAGTTATCTCCCTAGTTTTACAACAGGCTCCATAAAAAGCACTAGTGAAGTCAGTACAAACTGAAATTTCATATAGGCAATCTGCTCTATGTTCTATACAGTGAAATGTAAGTACAATAGTTATATTCCAATTGATTTATAATTATATGGTAAAAATGAGAAAGTAAGCAATTTTTCAGTAATAGTGTGCTATGACACTTGTATTTTTATGTCTGATTTTGTAAACAGGTAGTTTTTAAATTAGGTGAAACTGGGGGTACACAAGACAAATTAGACTCCTGAAAGGGGTACAGTAATCTGGAAAGGTTGAGAGCCACTGACCTATACCATATGCTGGCCTCTCACTTAAGGTTAGGATTTTCTAACCAGCGTAAGGGAGTGAGGTGTCTAAGTGCCATTGAATGTCAGGTGACCATATTTGGGATGCAGTGCATATGGCAGACTCTACACACAATGAAGTTGGACATCCCCATATTTTTGGCATGTGTTTGAAGGTGGCACTGGCAGGACTAGACCAAGGTGAGCTGGTAGAGCTTTACTAATACCCTGGAGAAACCTCAACATATGGGAGTCTGTCACCTCTTACCTCAGGGCTCTCCTGCTGGGCAGCGTCGTCGTGGGGGGGAGTCTCCATCTCAAGGGCATGTGCCAAAGGAAACTGGAAGGACATGAACTGAGTCAGAGTTGGGGGAAAGGGAAGAGGCCCAGAGTTGGATACCAAATAGCTTCCTCCAGGTTTGGCTGAGGAAATCACTCCCCTCTGGCTCACTTCCTGCCACGTCCCTCCAGGCTGGGCCAGAGACAAGCATGTCCCCTGTGGTTCTCTTGGCTGACTGAAGCAAAGATAGTTTTAACCTCTTTGTAGAATGGATGTAACAGAAGTGGAGGAGTCCCGAGGTGGGTGATGGAAATGGTTAGAGAGAGACTGGAAAGATTGGGACTGTTTAGCTTAGAGAGGGAACAGGAGAGAGGGATGCAAAATAGTGGCTGGGATAGAAGATAGACTGAGCAATTCTATATCTGCTCTCATGAGAGCAAGGAGGCAAACGGATAAAAGGATTTTTTTAAATCACAGTGCCTGATGAACTCCTGTAACTCACAGCCACTAGATATCATTGAAGTTCATGAGGATGCTAAAAAACATTAGGTATTTATGTGGATCGTGAGCACATCCACAGTCACATCAGACTGGATAAAGAAACCGAGGTCTATACGCCCTTGTGTGTCAGGGCAGGAGCCAACAACTGACTGACCGGGTGCTGAAGCAGCGTCCCCTGGGGGCAGGTTATTCCATTGTAGTCTGTTCGGAGATTTCTTCAGAAGCATCTGGTGCCAGCCATTTGGAGATCAGCCCTGTTCTAATCCAGCCTGGCATTGCCTGCCCTGTTCCCGCCACTGCCCCCGGCTGACTGGGGTGAAGAGTGTGCTGACAGAGAAGATGCCCTGCAGGATGGGTGAAGGCAATGCTTTGTGCCTGTGGCTTACCCGTGGGCTATCGTGCAGAGTGGACAAGCAGAGCAGCAGACCCCAGAGCAGCATCGCCGTATTTCTGGAATACAAAAGCTGTCAGTGACACTCACAGGCTACTCCCTGGGTCCTCTCTGCTCCCGGGGTGCCTGTGCTGTGCCTGCCCATTATTACAATGAGAACAGCAACAGATAATGAGCCCAAAGAAGAGGAAAGGAAAGAAGGATCCAGGAGGAACAGACACAAACTGCTGGGAAACCAACCCAGGGAGACAGCAGCTGGCAAGGTGAATGATGCTGAAGAGAACTGGAGTCCAGGACCAACGCAAGGCATCGCGTTGACCAGGACCCAGCACTGATGCAGTGCTGTAGCTGTGCTCAGGAGTTTATTCTCCCTGGACACTTGCATTTCTATCCCCTCTCACCCTCATTTGGCTGGAGAGCAAATTGCAGTTTCCTAACGATTCCCAAATGAAATCTGTCCCACACAACCCAGGGAGAGGCTCAGCTTCTCCACTCTCTCATCCATGCACACAAAGCTGGGGATAAGGGACAGGCCCCTGGCTGATGGTCAGAGACATCTGCTGCTGTTCTGTGCCTCCATGGGGGACAGTGATACTGACCTGCCTTTTAGGGAGCTCCAAGGATCCAGCAGGTGCTGCCTGTAGAGGGTTGTGGATGGGACGTGCAATGTCAGAGCTGATCACTAGTGTTACCCTCTCAATAGCTGGCCTGCAGCACAGAGCCCTCCCCTTCCCCCCACTCACATATTCCCCTTACAGGCAAGCACAGCCCCTCCTACCACCACACTCTTGTTCCTGTCACTTGGGGGGGCCAGGCTCCCTGCCAGTGCCCCAGGCATGGCCCTGCCCGCTTGCAGTGGCCTGGACCACACTGGGACCTGGCTCCAGCCCCAGGCACTCACCCTGGTCTAGTAGGGGTTGTTCTCCTACTCCTTGATTGGGTAAACACCCAGCACCACCCCCAAAACAGAGCTGAAATTCCTGGGGGGCAGCATCAGTTTGCCAGGCAGTCCCCAGAGTAACCTGGACAAGCTGGGCTGCAGCCCTTCTCCCTCATCTGCCAATCATATGTGAAGAGCTTAAGAGTATTTCAACTCCCCCCCACAAATCCAACAGCTGGCCCCACATGCAATCCCTGAGGCCCTTGGCCCTCAGCTCATTGTTGAATTCTCTACCCCCCACACCCTCCACTCGGGCAATTTCACACTGTGCCCCCCCCCACTGGAACAGTTCCCCCCAGTTTATTGCCAAATCCCCCCTCCCCCCCAAACCAAGTTCCTCTGCCCCTTACCTCGGTTTGCTAAGCATTTCTGTTGGTGCTGACACCCTCTCTACCCAGCCGATGGCTCTGCATGGGACAGATGAAGCCCCTTGTCCAGCCCACGCTTGCCAGGCAGTGACAGGCATGACCTTCAGCACCACCCCTTATTTGAAGATTTTTCCCTTTCAGCAAATATTGACCTTGTACATCCGGTTAAACATTTGTTCTGGGATGGAGCGAATTGGTGTTTTTCTGTGGGACTCTAGGTCGCTGCACCCCAAGGATAGCTGTGACCCTGATTTTACCAGCTTACGTTACTCCTGAAAGTTCAAGAGTAGAAGTAACAAGTGGAATCTTTTGTCTAATTGAGACTCTCCCCCTTTCCAGATCTCCTTTATGCCTTTGGAGGAGTGCAGACCCCTTACACATGGCCTCAAATGGGAGAGCCAAGGTTTGAGACTTAATGGCTTTTGGGTTCCTCGCCCCACCACTATTCTTAGAATTTTCTGTGCGAGAAACTCCAGCTTTCTAGTCTATCTATCCCAGCCTCTCCTCCTGCTGCAGCAAACACAGGACTGTAGCCCTTTGACACATGGCCAGGGCCCAAGTTGCTGGCTGCAGTGGGTCCAAGCAGGAAGCGGAGTGGGCTCAGCTTGGGCTGAGCTGACACCCTCTGGGCCATGCAACACATCATGAAGGCAGCAGCAGAGCCATGCCTAGAAGAGTTGGGTTTCCCCACAAGCAACGGTGTTGTGAGCCCTTGACACACACACACCAGAAAAGCCCCCACTCTAACGCGGCAGGATGTTCTTGTGGAAAGGGCACAATACTGGCTCTCTCACTGACTTGCTACAACCTTGGCCTGAGCTTCCCCTCTGAACAGTGGAGATAATGAGCCTCACCTGTCTCTGGGGGTGATGCGGCCTCATGTGTTAATATCACTGTTGGACTAGAGTGCTAGGGAGGGGTGGAGAATTTGAATGGGACCATAGGGCCTGAGCCAGGGCTATGCTAGCTGAGTCTAGGCTTAGAGCTTTTGAGCGAGGGCAGGAGGGCTGCTGCCCTTTCCCCACACGCATACACCCTGGAGTAGGCCCTGGCCCCCACAGTGACTATATGGAGAAGCCTTAAGAGGTTGGGGAGGGGAGAACAGGTGAAAACAAGACAGGCTTGAGAACTGTCACCACAAGCTGCTTTAAAGGAGGCTGATTTGGGACAGATCAGTGTTCTGTTGGGAAGCTGCTTTGAAAGCCTAGGGAGGGGGGAAAGGAGCTCTAAAACATACTGAAGTAAAAGTTGGATCCAAGGGTCAGCAGCACAACCTACTCCAAGCTGGCAAGGCACAGGGCTGCTCAACGGCACCCCTTCTTCTGTCAGGGGAGCCTAAATGAGGCGAGCTGGCTTGGTTCTCATCAAGTCACTACTCAGAGCAGAGAAACTATTGGCTGCAGAGTAGTCACTTTGCAACCCTCTCCCACAACCCCAACCCTAGTAATGCTGCACACCCATTTCCCTCAAACACACAGCCACACTGCCCCTCCACCATCCAGCTACACCCCATGCCTTTCCCTCAAACACAGAACAGGCAGCGCCAATTCCCACCCATAGACTAATAGATTCCAAGGCCAGAAGGGACTGTTGTGATCATCTAGCCTGTTCTCCTGTATAACACAGCCTAGATAACTGCCTCAAAATAATTCCTAGAGCAGAGCTGTTAGAAAAACATTCAATGTTGATTTAAAAATTTGCAGTGATGGAGAATCCACCACCAATCTTGATAAATTGTTCCAATGCTTAATTACTCTCATTGTTAACATTTTCCACCTTATTTATAGTCTGAATTTGTCTCACTTTAACTTCCAGCCATTGGCTCATGTTCGATCTTTCTCTACTAGATTGAAGAGCCCATTGTTAAATATTTGTTCCCTATGTAGGTATTTACAGACTATAGTCAAGTCAGCCCTTAACCTTCTCTTTGTGAAGCTGGATTGAGCACCTTGAGTCTATCACTATCAGACGTGTTTTTTAATCCTTCTTGTGGCTCTTCTCTGACCCCTTTTCAGTTTATCAATATCCTTCTTGAATTGTGGGCTTCAGAACTGGACACAGGATTCCAGCAGTGGTCACATCAGTGCCAAATACACTCTACTCTTACTCAGGATTCCCGTTTAGGCATCTCAGGATCACATTAGCTCTTTTGGCCACAGCGTCACGTGGGGAGTTCATATTCAGCTGAATAGCCACCGCAACGCCCAAATCTTTTTCAGTCACTGCTTCCCAGGATAGAGTCCCCCCTCCTATAAGTATGGCCTACATTCTGTGTTCCCAGGTCTGTACATTGACATTAAGCCATAACAAAACACATATTGTTTGTTTGCAGCCAGTTTACCAAGTGATCTAGAGCACTCTGAATCAGTGACCTGTCCTCTTTATTATTTACCACTCCTCCAATTTTTGTGTCTTCTGCAAATTTGATCAGAAGTGATTTTGTGTTTTCAGGTCACAGATAAGGATGTTAAATAGTGTAGGGCCAAGAACCAATCTCTGTAGGACCCCCCTGGAAACACACCCACTCAATGGCAATTCTCCATTTACAGTTACATTTTGAGACCCATCAGTTAGCCAGTTTTTAATCCATTTAAAACATGCCATGTTAATTTTATATTGTTTTTTAATCAAAATGTCATGCAGTACCAAGTCAAACACCCTACAGAAGTCTAAGTATATTACGTCAACATGATTACCTTTATCAACCAAACTTTGTCTCATCAAAACAAGATAAAGTTAGTTTGATAAGATCTATTTTTCCATAATCCCTGTATTGATCTGCATTAATTACATTACCTTCATTTAGTTCTTTATTAATCGAGTACCGTATCAGCTACTCCATTATCTTGCCTGTGATCGACGTCAGGCTGAATGGTCAACTCATTTACCCTTTTTAAAAATTGGCACATTAGCTATCTTCTAGTCTTCTGGAACTTCCCCAGTACTCGAAGATACTGAAAACCAACATTAATGGTCCAGCAAGCACCTTAGCCAGCTCTTTCAAATCACTTAGATGCAAGTTATCTGGACCTGTTGATTTTAAAATGCCTAACTGTAGTAGCTTCTGTTTAACATCCTCCAGAGATAATAGTGGAATGGAAAGAGTTTTATCAACACCCTATGATGAGTCTGCATCATGTATTTCCCCCAAATATAGAACAGAAATATTTACTGAAAACTTCTGCATTATTGATAATTCTGCCATTTCCATATAGAAATGGTTTTGGTTCAAAAACCATTGTAAGGATTCTTCCTCCGCCCCCACCCCGAATATATTTTAAAAACTCCTTGTCCATTGCTGGCCATAGATTTCTCCTTGCATCCCTTATCAATTTTCTAAAGTTCCTACCTTCTAATTTATATTACTTACTAACAGCTTCCCTCTTCCATTTGTTTATATATATATATATACACACACACACACAGAGTGAGACTTGCGGGGGGGGGGGGGTTGGTTTGTTTTGGTTTTGTTTTTTTGCTTTTTACAGCTGCCGTCATTTCCTCTCTAACCCAGGTCAGTTTTTCAATCAGGCACAGCCTTTTCCCTTGTTTGTGGCTTTTTGGGGCATCTAGTAAGCGGTTCTTAAATGATTCCCAACCATCATTCACTTTTTTCTGATTAAATTCTTCCTTGCAGGTGATTTGGCTCATACTTGTTTTCAGCTTTGTGAAACTGGCCCTCCTAAAGCAGCAAGAATATATATAACTGGTCTGGAGTTTGTCACATTTATAACGTGCAAGGAGAATAAAGTCATGATCACTCCTACCTAAGCTACCATTAACTTTTAGTTTTGTGATCAGTTCCTCTTTATCTGTTAAGACAAGGTCTAATATAGAATTCCCCCATGTTGACTGCAACAGGTTTAGAAAGTCCCAAGGATGTTTTAGTGCTGGCAGCATGAGAACACCAGCATGTGTCACTCAGACTGACATCCCCCAGGATTGTGCAGGTTTTTTCCTACGTTACAGAAAGTTGTGTAAGGAGGCCATCATCCTTTTCCCATAAGTAAAACACACGCATACCGCCACACCGCACACCCCTGCACCCCACACAGAAAGGCTCCTCTCCTGGTCTCTTTCAAAGGGTTTATTAGAATAAATATTTACATCTATTGCAAATGGTTAATAGGCAACAGGGGACAGAGTTCCCCTCCCACCCCTGAATGGAGGGATAGCAAGGGACTAAGTGCTCATCTCCTCCACCCTCCGTCTGCAAGCGCAGGGCAGCGGGAAGCAGAGACCCCCCCAGCAGTGGGCAGCCCAGGGACTCCCAGCCTGGGCAGGACGACAGCCCTTCCCCACAGTCCCTACGCTCTACACAGAGCCAGCAGGAGTTGCCCAGGCACTGCAGGCTCCTCCCCTCCATCAGGCCAAGCCTTGATCTCAGGCTAGGCCCCTCTGGTCAGCCTCCCAACCCCTCCGCACCATTCCGCAAACGCTCAGAGTAGCTCAAGGGACCGAGAGGGAGCCTGCAGCAGAACCAAGCCGTGGGGTATGGACAGGCAGCTACCCTCACTGATGGGCCCAAGGAATGCCCTCTTCCCCTCGGGCACAGCTCCAGCACGGCTGCCTGGAGAGGGCTGTTCTAGCCACGGTCTCTGGCAGGAGGTGGAGTCCTGGGGCAGAGGGCAGCACTTTGTGGGTTCAAGGCATGCTGGGTCCTGCCCCGCGCTGTCCTAAACCTGTAAGGTAAAGTGTGACGTACGACAGCAAAGGGGGGCTCAAGCTACCCTCCCCGCCAAGCCTGAATCCACCCAGCACAGATAGGGCCCCTCCTTTGAAAGGGGCAGCCAACACAGCCTCATTCCAGAGCACGCAAAAGAAATCCCCCCCAGCCATGGGGGATATGGATCTCCCTAGCTCCTGTCCCAGAAGAGGCAAAGACATACATTCTGCCCAAGGAGCATGCAGAGATTCGGGGCAGAGGGCCTGGCTGGGAGCCTGAAATCCCCCAGACAGGTCTAGTTCCTGCCTCTCCTGGCAGCTGGGGCTGCCCCACCCCTCTGTAGGCGCATTCCCACCCCCAAACAGATGGTGGGCAGCAGGTGGTGGTTATGCCTTGGGTAAATGGCTGGCTCTGCTACCCTCCACTGCCCTAGAATCAGTGAGAAGCCACAGTGGGTGCTGGGAAAGGTTCCCAGATTGATGCCATGGCTGGGGTGGGGTTTTTAAATGGACTGCGGCAGACTATAAAGCAAACTGAGAAAAAAAACCCATTTGTGTCCCTTCAGCCCTCACCGTCCA